TGTAATTTACCCATTTGTAACTTGGGTTAGAGCAACTGTGCTGTGTACAGAGGTTGTATGCAATCCACAGGAGTTCTACAGAGGTACCGAGGGAAGATCTGCTAATCTCAGCGACTCTGCCTGCTTCTCTGAGCTGCAGTTTCTGTATTTACTTAACTCTTATTAGACAGGTGGTCTTAGCGCTTGAAATTCAAGGACTTCATGGTTCGATCCCAGAGAGAGAACTGATGTGAGCTCATCCTGTGAATGGTTCTTTCCAAAGCTATGGAAAGCAGAAAAACAAATGCGTTTCTCCATGTTGGAGCTTTGGCAAGGCGTCTTACAAAAAGAATATGGTTTTGTGTAACAAAGTTGGTGGCACTGTATAAGAGAAACAAGATAACATATCCTAGAAGATTCTCTCCAATCACAAATGCACGCAGATGGGTACAGATACAGTGTCTGTTCATGGCTCTCCCTGCAGCCAGCTCTCAGCTAATACTGAGGCACAGGGCTGCCATAAGAGACTGTCCCCACAACTAAACTAAGACCAGAGGGTTTTTCTGCAAGATTTCCTGCTAGCTTTGGAGTCAGCATTTCTACTATTTTAGCTTTGTGGCAAAATTTCACGTAGGCAGTTCTACATTGGAAATCCCATCAGTCATTGCCTAAATTTAATTACTTACAAATGCACTGATGCATAGGACAGCCTGGAATAAGGCTTTTACATATTTATACAGCACACAAACTTCGTAACCTTCAGTAAAGATACTGGTAGAGTCTGGATCAAAAACAGTTTCATAAGCAATTATTGCAAAGATTAGCATGGCCTTTGCAGAAAACCAGAAGGGCTTCTTAAGAGAACTGTGCAAGCACATGAATTAAATGCTTGTCTTTCTTTTCATTAAATCGTGATAAACAGGAAAATGTAAAGAATTCGAGATGATAATCCAGAAAGGGCATGAAATTGCATTTCTTTTACTTCCCCACAGAGTGTCCCCACTTCACTATTCATTGCTCAAGAAAAGAACACTTCCTTGTGTAGGGTAACAGCCTCTTTTGTGGAGAAGCACACAAAGGTTTGTCAAACATGCATTTGTCTGTGTTTAAAATGTATTATCTGGATAATATGGCAAACAAGTTTCCATTCTATTTATCCTACAGGAAAAGGACAAATAAATCTTACATTCCTAATTTGTGTTGATTCAAAGCAGAAATGAATAAGTGAGCTTGTGAGACCTGGTTTACAGCACTGTAACAGATGAAGCCTTCGCCGGTAGGCAAGCAATTTGCACCAGAATAGCTTCAGTGACTTGTGCTCAAACTACTTCAGTCACAGTTACAATCCCTGAGACTGGCTGCTAGACAGAGAATGGACTTAGTTAATATGTCTTTCCAGGACAACACCAGATACATATCCAACCAAATAGTAAAAGCATGAAAAATGCGTATTTCTATCAACATGCATGTGTTTTGTTTTATTACCTATTAAAAGGAGGATGAAAACAAACAAATCTGGAAGAGGAAAATTAACACTAGCATAACAACCAAACAAGATTTTTAATGTTTTCTCAGGCCTGACAGAAATTCCATCCAGCCTCGATAAACAGTCCTATTTATCACAGTGATATTGTGAAATAAATACAGTAAGTGTTTGTAGAACAGAACTTTAATTTGTATGACGCAAGAAAGAGGTTCTTAGAAGAATGAATTATTCCCCCATTCACATAATTGGCAGGGAGGACCAAGTCTACTGATGCTGTCACTAGCCAAAGCTATTATAATCCAAGTTTCCCGAAATGTGCTGCCTTTCTCCATGTCAGCACTTTCCATCCAGGTGGAAGAGATCCCTGGCAACTGTGCTTTGTTTCCACGTGCCACAGCACCTGCACAGGTGCACATGCCTCACCCTGACACCACCCATGCAGGCTGGATGTACTGTACTGCACTTCTGCATGAGCCTGCTGGACTCAGGTCTCTGTGCATGTGTCCCTGTGTCTGAAGTCGTCTGTGATCAGTTGGTAGCTTAAAGCTGTGTGCGCTCTGTCACTTGCGTAACATTTGAGAAGTTTTGTATTTGCCCCTGGTTATGGATATTGCAGGGTTAAACAGTCAGCCCCCAGCTTTTTTTGCATTCTGGTATTGTGCTTTTCTTCCTAACTACTTTTTTTTTTCCCCTCTAAGATGAAATTCTGATCTCTATAAAATCAAATGGAATGTTTCTTTCACTTTTTTCTTTTTTTAAAAATTTCTTTAGTGTCAGTACATTTCTCTGAGGTGTTTTTTTTTCCCATTAGGACATTTGTATACATTTCTATGTTGTCAATCAAAATAAGCTTGTACACGATTCTGTTTGCTCCTGAGATATGCAGTAAATACACATAAAGAATGCAGTAAAAAGCATTTAGATATTAACTCTGTGTTGTGGATCCACGTCTCATTGATATTTTTCTCCTGATAACGTAATGCAGTGTTGAATGTTTATATGCTATGCCTATGGCTAGCAAAAGAATGTCATTTATCTACTGCTAGTTTGTACAGAATGGCTCTTATAGTACCCTTCTCTTTCACATGAAGTCATAAGGAACCCCGGAACCACCAAAACAATATTCTGTATCTGTACTCAGTGATGTTCATAGGCCTGACACATCACATGATTGAAGTTACTGCTGTCTCACCAAAGCCCCCCAAACAACAGCCAAGGTAAGTTATAAAGCTTTACACAGTATTTGTTTACAATCCAGTAATCTAGCAGGAAGCAAGAGCTTTTTGCATGGTTTGTTATTGTGAAGAAGAACATTAATTCAGAATAACAGAATCATTCAGGTTGGAAGGGACCTCATGAAGACCTTCTGTGCAAAGGCGGCTGTTCTGGACTTTACCCAGTTGGGTCTTGAAAATAAATCTACAATTTATTCTTTTCCCTGTCCCTGTGCTTGCTTAGCCATGCTATATTCCCCCCCTCATATCCGGTTGGAACCTTCTATTTCAGTCTGTGACCATTAAGTCTCATTCTGCTGTTACCTACTTCAGCAGAGAACCTTGCTCTTGATAACCTCTACTTAGGTATTAGTAAGCTCTTATTAAGTCCCCCTGAGTTTTATTAATTAATGTGAATCTTTGAGTAGAAGAAATGATGAATTAACCTTGAGGACAACTAGTGAGCTGCATGGCAATCAGGTGGTCAATAGAATGTGATAATGAGCATTTTCACAGGCTTTTGGAAGGTTTGAGATGCTGCTGAAGGCACCTGAATAAGTGAATTAATTCCTTTTCAGACACAGTTTCAGCCACTTCTCATGTAGCTTTAGAGGTGTAGTGCTGGTCTAACAGGATTCTTGCAGGTTATTCACTAAAATCGTGAGCACAAGTTAAAACTGAATTTAGATGAACAGCAAAACACAATTTTTTTGCAATTAGAGCACTGGGTTAAAGTCTGAATTCCCTGCTCCCATTTCCAATGCAGACAGTCATCCCCTAGGAGCCCTTACAGGCTCTGTGACATCAATCTGCACATCCATAATTACAGTCTACATGCTATTACAAGGCAGCCTTGCACAAAAGCTTGTGCAGTCCTGGGAGAATCATCTAGGCCTACAGCGAGCTCCATCACAGAAAATGCAAATCTCTTCACAGCTCAGACATCCTCCTGCAGATATGGATGAGCTCACACCCACCTCACTAATAACAAGGCGTACTTCTCTTCAGCAAGATTACACAAAATTAACCAGAAGATCTCATGAGAATCTCAGCAGCGTGCTGTACTTCAAGGTACACACATGCTGAGATTGCTGCAAGGGCTGTGGACAAATAAAAACGATGTCTGGGGAAAGGCAGAAATTGACATGAAAATCGAATAACTTTTGTTAGTTAGAACTGCAAAATGAGGAAGCAAAAAGATAGCAACAACAGTAACACCGATGTATTAACCTTTATGCAAACAGCACCTCTTATCCTACCTCCCCGCCCCGACGGTCTTCTGTGCAAAGCGCCAACCGCACGTCTAACAGGGAGCTCCGGAAAGGTACCGTGAAACGCGCCAGCACAGCTGGCCGGACATCGCCATCCCGGCTAAGGGAGGACAAATCCTCACTCGGGAGGCACGCGGTACGGCCGCTGACTCGTTTCGGCCCGGGGTCAGGACTCCACCTGAGGCAGCAGGGGCGGCACGAGGCGTTTCCCCGACCCTGGGTGCGGCTCGCCGTCACGGCCCCGCCCGCCGCCTCGCGCGGGCTCAGGGGCTTCCCGCGCCCCGGGTGCGCGCCGCCGGGCTCTCCGCCGCGCCGCACCTGTGTGAGGGAGCCCCGCCCCGAGGAGGGCCCTCCGCCCGGGCCGTGCCCACCTGCCGGGTCCGGCGGCGCCGCGAGAACGTGGGGGCCGCGGCCCGGAGGTGAGAAGCGAGCCCGGAGCGCGCGTCGCGTGAGGCGTTACGCGGGGAAACCGGCCGCGACCCGCGGGGTGTCGCCTGCGCGGAGCGCGGCTCGGACGTCGGCGCAGAGAAAAGCGCCCGCAGAGCCCCGCGCGTCGCCCCGGCCCGTCCGGTCGAGGCGGGAGCCGCCCGCGCCGACGGCCCCAACGGCCGCGCGCCGTGCGCCCTCCACGCCCTGCGGCCGCCGGCGGGGCGGGCGCGTGCGGCCGGCGCGAGCCCGTCCCGCCGCCTGAAGCGGCGCGTGCCGGCGGCGGGCTCTTTGTTCCCGGCGGCGGGGGCCGGGGGCGGCGCGGGGTGCCGCGGGCCGGCCGGGGCTCGGGGCGCAGAGCGGCGCCGGCGGCCGAGGGGGGCGCTGCGCGGGGCACGGCGGCGGGGGCCGGGCGAGGCGGCGGGCCGCGGGGGCCCTGCACGGAGCGGCGCCGAGTCCCGCGGAGCCCCGCGCGGCGGTAGCGGCCGTCCGCTCGCCGCGGGCCGTCGCGGAGCCCTCCCGCTCCCAAAGTTTGCAAAGTCCGGCGGCTCGCGCCGCTGGGGCGGCGGCGGCGGCGGCGGGTACGGCTGCGGCGGGCGGGGGCGGCGGCGGAGGAGGCGGGGGCGGAGGGGGCGGGGTGCGGGCCGGCGGCGGCAGCAGCATCAAAGAGCCCCGATTCCTGCCGCCCTGGGAGCCATGCGCCGCTGTCTGTAATGTCAGCGGAACAGGAGAAGGACCCCATCGCGCTGAAGAGATCCCGAGGTACTGTGGGGGGACGAAGGGGGGTCGCGGGCCGGGCCGGGGGCGGCCGGTGGGGCCTAACTCCCGCCAGGGGAGCCCTGAGGGAGCCCGCGGGGATGCCGGCCCCGAGCCGCTGCGCGCCGGGCCCCGAGCCGCCGGCCCTCCGGCCCGGGTCGTTCCCTGCGGCGGAGCGGGGCCGCGCTAAGTTTGCTCGGTGCGGCCCGCCCGGCCCCGCGGGTTCCCGCAGCCTCCGGGCCTGGAAACGCCGAAGTCGGGGTGGCGGTGCGCGCTGCCGGGCGCCGCGCTGCGCGGTGATCGCTGTTGTGTTTTGCTGCCTGTGCCGCCCATTAGTATGCGGCGTGCGTAGCCTTGGTGCAAGGGAATACGTCGGCGGTGCCACACGTCCGAGTTGGGGTCGATGCGGAGCCCCTAAATCGCACGGAGCGCTGCTCTGCCCCGCGTTTGATTTCGCTCGGGGTTTTGTTCCCTCTCGCTGGGAATGGAAACGTTTCTCCGCGGTTTTTTTCTTTCATTAGCGGTCCCGGTGCGTGGCTCTGGTGAGGTCTGGATGGGCGCTGCTTTGAAATGTGCGCCGTCTGCTCTGCCTCGGGCTGCGCATCTAAGGGCACCGGCCATCGGTTTGCAGGGCAGTTACTGTGTCCATGCGGTTCTTCAAAGCAGAAATGCGCTTCTGACCGAAATAATGAGTCGGGTCTTGGAGTTGGTTGAAAATTATGGCGTAATGAGGAGAGCAGAAGTTTATCGCTTCTCTTTCCCTCTCCTCCTGCTTCGCCTCTGGGATCCCATTGTTCTTAATGTTTTAAGCTTCTTGTGGGTGGCTGAGTGGCAGAAGGTGGGGATCTTGTTATCCAGATTGTCATTGATTTACAGTTCACTTCTCTAAAACAGCTGGATCACAACCTTGAGTGTGAGAGAACGGAAACGTGCAGCTGCCTTACAAAGGGGACTGGGATTCATTAGGCTCCGCTCTGATTCTGCACATACGTAGGCAAGCAGTTTCACACACTGGAGGTACCCGCCGAGTTCTGTAGGATTACTGCTTCACCTCAGGCTTTGTGGGATCAGGCCGACAGTGCAGGCTCACTGGGTCTGATTGAAGCCTGGCTCTCCAGTTTTCTGTCCATAATAAAAACTATGTTTGGCCATTGGTAACTGCTGGGAGATGTTGTTAGAGCACTGTAAAAAAGACTGTGGCTCCCATGCTGTAAAATCTCAGACAGAGGTTTGTCAGTGAATAGGAGAATGCTCTGTGGAGTATTTGCAGTGCGTTAAGCGCGATGTGAATTATACACAAAATCATAATATCTGACTGTGTAGACAGAACTGCAAGTTTCAGTTCTCTGCACTCGCTTGGAGGTGTCTGTGTGTGAAGTCAGAGGGGATGTGGTATTCACTCCCTCTGTGCTGTCAAAGTGTAAATGGCCAAAATGCGATTTAGTCATAATACGTAACAGGGGAATAGATATCAGATATCTATTTGTATCTCTAAGTCCATTTAAGTATATGGTGTTCCAGTCAAACAGATTCTTTTTTCTTGCAAAATTAGTCACAGATGAAGTGGTTTTTTTTTTAGACCCTTTGTGCAAATATCACAACATTCCAAAATGCTCAGTACACATCTTAAAGACGAGTCTGTGTGGCAGGTACCAGGATTGACTTTCCTGAAAGTTTATTTTGGCTGCATGAAAATGACTCTCATTCACTCTTCTTCTGGAGGTATGCTCGGACTAACATTCAGCTTCCTTTCATGTATAAATTAAATCATTATAAAATCCACAGGGAAAACATCAATTCGTAGGGCTGAATTAAATCACTGGCCTCACACAGTGAGAACTGCAAATACAAAAGCTTTGTATGTTCCAGATGTAGGACTCAGTTCTGCAAGCCCTTGCAAATGACTGACTTTCCCCACGTGAGTAATTCATGCAGTAATTGGTGGCTCTTATTATACAATCCGGAGATTTACATGCTAACATTTTTGAAGAATGAGATCTGAGAGAGGAAGCTTGTACATAATTTTACAAAGTTGTAACTTCTCTGATGTAAGTCGGCACTTTCCTGTGGTTCACAGTATTCCGTTTGTTTGTAGATGTAGTAATTTCTGTGCTGCTAGTTGTTGAATGAAAAGAAAACAGAATGTTTGTAACATGCTTCCATCAGCAAGCACTGTTTATGTATTAAGAATATAGGACCATATGGAGAAGGGTGCTCACATACAGTCTCCCATAAAAGAGTTTTGGAGGAGAAGAAGCTGATGGGAAATGCAGAGACAGCTTTGAGCAAATACCTTGTTGAGAAGGTGATGTATAGGGTTGGCATGTAAGGGGTGTTTGCCACCTTTATATAAAACTATATAGTGATCATTCTGCATCTGCAAGTAATGTGGCTGTGTGCTGTGCTAAGTGCATGCAGCGTTGTGTATTCTAAATCAAGGCTTAATGGTGTTTTTTTCCCTCCAGCTTAATCCCTTGCTGCTCTGATGGTAGGTTGTACCGGGATACACTGTGCTCAAGCATGAGTTTATTTTGGGAACTGGATCATGACTTCATGCTGTAGTCTCTGAAATTCAGACTCAAAATTTGCCAGTAATGATAGGTGTTGATTTGCGAGGTCCAATTACATATATCTTATGAGTAATGAAATGTTTTGGGAATTACATGTGCATAAAACAGAGATGAAATCTCTACAGCGACAGTCAAAGCCAAAAGGAACTTATTAAAGCTCAAGTCAAATGATTTTTATTTGAAGTAGGACTGGTAATTTCCCTGAAACCTGTTAAGGCAAAAAAGTGTGTGTGTTGAGGGGAGGGAGCAAAGGCTGAGTGTAAGGGAAAAAAAGGGAATTGCTGAGAGTGAGAGCTCGTGGTACATGGCTGTTGGCCTCCTTTGATCAGGAGTATTTGAAGTAACTGTTGCATGTTTTAGTTTGCATGTAGTAGATCTAATTCTTTATGACATGAGAGATTTTGTTATGCTCCTAAACAGTCCTAAAGCTGGTTTAGCTGTCTTCTGGGAGTACTGGTGTAACATAGAGCTGGTGTGATGTCTAGTGTGATGTCACACATGATGCTGCTCTGCATAAGACTGCTGATAATTCTGTTATTTTCAGGTTGTCTTCAGTGATACAGCTGAACACATGGGTTTCTCTTTGTACTTACATTTGGATGAAGTTTGACTGGTATTCAGAATTTGAGTTTTGAATAAATAACAGTAATTTTTTTTCAGCCTATATTGCTCACTTCTTATAGTTTTATACTGTTACTCTTATTATTTTTCTAAAATAAACTATTACCTTAGTGGGCCTAGGAAAAAAATTAACATATAGTTTCTTAATGTAGCGGTGTTAAAATCTTAGGCTGGAGTGTTGTCATGTAACCTGGAAATGAATTCTGTGCTTTGGCTCACGGTTGCTTTTGCATTCCCAAATGGAGGTAAATTTTTTGAACCCCATGAGGGCAAAACTAGTGGGATAATAAGGAATGTGCTTAGAACCTAAGCCCTAAATAGAGTTTTAAAAATGAAAACCATAGTTTGTACAACTTTGAGAGCTTGTTGCACTCTTAAGGTTGGGGCAAGTGCTGAGTGAAGTACAGATATGTTTGTATAAATCTGGTGACGCGATCAATAAAATGAACAGCCTTTACTTATGTATTTATTTATTTTGCCAGAGCAGCTGTGCTCAATTACTTAATGTGATTTCTACCGAGTAAGTCAGACTCACCTACAGCCTCTCTCATTTTTGGCAGGTGTCTTTTTGTTTAATCAAGTCTTGCATTTAGAGAAATTTAGATCTGATAAAATGGAGATCTGTCCAAACAATATGGCAGGTTTCCAGTGGATATTCACAGATGTGCTACTCTGTGCTTTTTTTTCCTTCATGGTATATTGTAATGAGCTGTTGTGTGTCATACAGTGAGTTGGTAAATGCCACATCTGTCTAAGTTAAATAGGAGGTGAATCTTAGGCATGGTTTTAAGCAGTTGTTCTAAAAGTTTTATGCCTTATGCAAGTAAGAAGTACTTCAATTGAAGTAGAGATGTTAAAATCTAGGGAATGATAGGCATGAAGCGAGAGGAAAGCTTTATTCAAACTGTAGTGAGCATGAATCAGACATTAGATGGTGATAGAGTTGGATAGCTGTATGTGATGTATGTTAACTTCTACCTCTGTGTATTCGCTTCTTGAGGATTTGCATTAATTCTGATGCTGTGCATTGTAAGTTCAATATTTGTGACAAACAGGGATATACTTAAAATACAGTCTGTAAGTAAACTAATGCAGAATTGCATTGCTTGAAATTTTGTAGGTGGTGACGGTGGATTGGATGGGTTAGGAGGACCAGGAGTGCAGCTTGGAAGCCCCGATAAGAAAAAGCGCAAAGCAAACACACAGGTAAATTTCCTTTGATTCTTAATAGGTAGCATACTCAGATGTTGTTTGCTGAAATGGCTGTCGTACCCTATTCAGAATATTGCTTTATTCTCACAAACTGCTGTTACATTAAAAATATTTTAGTTGTATTGTGAAGCTGAAATTTTAACTCCCTTCATTAAACTTTATCATGCTAGTTATCCTCACTAAAACTATTCTAGGTCTTTGTAGGTTGCCAAAGCCCTGTAAGGGGAGAAGTAAGCGAGACTGCGAGATTTGCATTTTACCATATGGATTTGATTCTGAGATGGCCTTTTTTTTTTTAGTGACCGTGTAGCCATTGCTAGCAATCTGTACAACATGAGTAATAGCAATGAGACTACTTTTTTTTCTTATTTTTGTAGATTTGTGGGCTAATGGATCAGTGCAGTTTGTTAATGCTTTGACCAAACTCCTGTTGTGTTCCCCAAGTGGTTTTTCAAGCAAAAAACTATGAGGCAGCTTCAGCTCCTTTCCAGTGAATCCTTGCAAACTGGCATTTCTATACATTTTCTGTTTGTGAAAAAGGAAGCCAGAATACAAAACATCTAAAGTAATTGGATATCTGTAGAGCTGAACGTTCCTTTGTGTATTTATTCACTATGGAGTGAGAGTATCTGTTAATTTTTTATTGCCTGGAGGGAGTAAATGTATTTACGTAGGTTAGACGATCACTTTCTCTTAGGCTTATTCAGTATTAATTGATTCCAATCCATGGGGATTTGTCTTCTCATTTTTTGTTTCCTTTCAAAGTAGTCATGTTGAAACCTGCTCTAAGAAATAACCGGTTAATTGCAGAGTTTCACATCTCTCTACTGGTGGAGCTTTCTTGTTGCTCAGAAGTGGTGATAATGTAGAGGGCAGGTGGATTAATTTCCTCTCTTTTCATGTTTGAAATGTGCAGGACAGGATAGCAGAAATTTGGGGGGGGGGAAAAAGTTCAGCCTTAGTTTATTAATATGAAGCCGTCCTTTCTGAGAGGAGTTCAGGTGAAGGTGCAGTAGCTTGATGTTCTCCACAGGCTAGTCTAGAATGTGATTCATTTGTATGGCCACTCTGAGAATGTTCTAGCAGCCTCTGGGCTCCACTGAAGACTTTATTATGCTCTCTAACCAGAAATCCTTGTATTTTAGTCCTACTGGCAATACTTAACAGATTGCTCACTGAATGTTCTTAAGGGACATCTGTTTGGTGCATAGAATATGGAAAATTCCTGTGCACAGACTCCTGTGTTACTAGAAACCTGAAGAAAAGTATAGGTAACATTACTTTTTTAGGTTTATATATTCTCATGGAAGTGGGGTGCCTTGAGAGATGTATTTCCAGTAAACTGAACTCAAAATGACACAAAGGAAATACTCCAGATCTGCTCTTCAGCATTTCAAAAATGTTATGTGTTTGTCAACATAGCTTTTTGTTTTGCTGCATTTCTTAAGTAAAAATGGAGGGGGAAAAAAGTCATGCTTTAAGTAGTGTCTTCAGAAGCATGGTTGTGCGACTACACAATTTCTAAAACACTGAGATGGCTATAAATCACTGTTATCTGGAGCTCAACCTCCTCTCTTCCCTCATTGAAATTTCAGGTAGCTTGGTGGGTTTTGGTGAGAGAGCTTTACACAACAACTGAACTGTGATTTTTTTTTTTAACAGTAGTGCTGCTAATCCAGGACCTTGTGGTTAGTCTTTCTTGTAGAGACATGGTAAAACTAATAAAAATGTTGTATTTAAAATGTTTTTAGGGATCTTCATTTCCTCCTCCATCTGAATATGCTCCACCGCCGAATCCAAGCTCTGACCACCTTGTAGCTGCAAATCCATTTGATGACAACTATAATACTGTGTCTTATAAACCACTTCCTGCAGGAAATCCTTATTTTAGTAATCCTGGTTATCCTGGCTTTGGAGGCTATAATACTTTCAGAATGCCACCTCACATGCTGCACAGAGTGTCTGCGCCGTATGGTGGTTCCTATTCCCTCAGAAACCAACCACACCCTCTTCCTCAAAACCCTGTAGGAATGGGTTTTAGTCGACCCCACTCTTTCAGCTTTGGTCCACATGATAGCCCAGGTTTTGCAAATCAGCCACCTTATAGTGGCAGTCAGATAAATCAGAATGTCAGTATGCCTGGTCAACATTTCAGGCCAAATCCTGGTGAGAACTTTGGCCATTCTGGACAGATACCTCATCCTGATGTGCCACCTAACTTTGGTCCTGGAAACAATTCAAATTTCCCAAATTCTCAGCTAGAGTCAAGCCACTCTTTTGTTCCTCCACCAAGCACTTACAACCAGACAAAATCATCAGTACAAAAGCAAGACTTTAATCTAGGTGCAAGCAAAGCATCCAGCCAGAACACTACTGCTCTTCAGCATCATCACAGGACAGAGGACATTGTGAGTCAAGGTAACAGTGACCTAAAAAATGTTACTCGAAACAACGTGGTAAATCAGGATGGTAGCCATTCTAATAGTGCTGATAACAATAATGCTGGCCATTCAAATGGGACTCAGAGTAAGTCCCGCCAGCCTCGAGGTACCACTGAAGGATGCAACTCTGAAAAGAGCAGCAAAACACCCCTTCATCCCAGTCGGCATGGTCACTCGTCCTCTGAACCCGTCTATCCGTGTGGAATTTGTACGCATGAAGTTAATGATGACCAGGATGCAATCCTGTGTGAAGCCTCTTGTCAAAAATGGTTTCATCGAATCTGTACTGGCATGACTGAGTCAGCTTATGGCCTTCTTACAGCAGAAGCATCAGCAGTGTGGGGTTGTGATACATGTATGGCTGACAAAGATGTCCAGCTAATGCGTACAAGAGAGACTGCAGGGCCACCTGCACTGAATACGGATGGCTAACAGTGTCAGTTGGTGGTAGTGGCTGAGCTACTTACTGTGAAGATTTGGTTGTGAATCGAGTACTTTCTGTTCTGAAGACAATCGATTGTGTTTGATTGCTGTCATATTATTTTCCCTTACCTGTTTTCGTTCATGAAGTTCCATCTCAACTTTGGTACTCTTAATTTTATGTGTGCAAATGTTTTACAGGGTGGAATTTTTTGTTTCTGACAGCCAATTAGAAATAGGATGTACATTGACAGTTTTATTGAAGGCAAAAATAGCCTTTATAAATAGTCCCTGATTTGCTAGTATTAATGTGTTAACTAACACTAGCATTTACGATTCAATTTTAATGGTACTGTACTTGCAAGTACTCAGTGCTTTTTTTTTTTTCTTCTGTTGTTGAATGTCTGTTACTGATGTTTTTGACATCTTTTCTTTGAATATCATGGAGATGACATGGAGGAAGTGTGCAGTACTAATAGTTTGTATTTTTTTAGAATAAATAAGAGGATTTTGTATGTGCTTTTTCTCATTTTTGAACTAAAGCATTAACACAATTCTAAAATCAATGCTTTCATTCTTAGTAACACAGTGAAACCCACAAAATCTTATACCTTGATATTTCCTTGAAAAGGCAATGATCTTTTGACTTCTCAGCAAACACTTAATTGCTGAGGACTCTTACTAGGTCTTGCAATATACGAAATGGCTACAAAATATGATTACATTGGAAGAAGCTAGGACAGATCAAGTTGATGAAGTCTAGTGCTTTAAATGTAGAGAATACCAAAACTAAGGTTATGTGTGTAGCCTTTCTTCATTCATCTTAAGCATGTATGTTAGGATACAGCCCCTGTGCAGTCACGTATCTCCTGCTCATCCTCTCCTCGCTGGTGGCTCTATCTTCCACCCTCAACTGTGAACGGATTTAAGCAGGGAAAGTTCTGCCCATCTCTTAGAGCTGTCAGCTGGAGCATGCTCATTCATCTTGAGCTTACACTGTCTGCTTGGCAAGAAGAAGGGTGTGAGGCAATGAAATGTGTATAGCACAGACTCTGAACTGCAAGGTAATTTGACCAGCAAAATAGTAACAATGAATTCTCACCACTGCCTCAGCCAGTCTTGTAGTTGGAGGGAGAAGGGAGTGTAGAGTGAAGACAAAGAAAGCTCTCAGATCTGAGAGCTTAGCTCACACCAGGAGCCAGCAAGCAGAAATTGAGCAAACTTGAGATCTTACAGACAAGTCTGAAAGGCACTAGAACTTTAGTGTATGATTCTAAGAATTATCCTTTATTATAGGCAGTTTGACCTTATTCTTATCTGAAGAATACACCTCCCTCCCCTTCTTTTCTTTTTTTTTTTTTTTTGTGGGGGAGCATCTAGCCTTGATTGCTTTGGCCTTAGTTGCATATGCAATTGAAAATCAGTGTTTCTATAGAGAAAAGTCTTGTTTTAACTTAATGAAAGATGGTACTGTAGTAATAGGTGGCTTGTAGTGCTCACCATTGTTCTGGAAACATAATTACTGATTGCTAAAAAAACTAAATGGTATGTCAGACGTTGCAGGTACTGGTCAGGTTCCTTTGTGTGATAGAAGGTGTTCAGATCAGTGGTGATGAGTGATACAGAGGCCTATATAGAATACAGACGTATATATTTAAAGGCTATTTTTATGGTAAGCTTTGTAAATGAGTGAAAAGTAAGGCTTATCTGCTAGTTCACCATTGTTTGATTTTAAATGAGCTCTAATGTTATACTGTCCTGAGAGATACTCTGCAGATGTCTTTCTTTTATTTTAATACTTAAGAGTTTTATATACCCTTTCATTGGAGAAGTATAGTATTGCCCTTCCCTTTTATAGTGCCTCTCATCAGGAAAAAGGAGATAATATCTCAAGTGTAAATTACATAGTCCTTATCTTAAGGACTTCCTTTATCAAGATGTAAAGAAAGTGTAAGGCAGATCCAGGGCTTCTGTTTTCAGTGCTACTTGCTTTATTTCTGACAGAGATTGAGCTTAGTCTTGTTTCGATAGGGGTGTGATATTTAAAAAATGAACTGCAGACCAACACAAAAACTAAAATAGCTGAACAGACAAACCTTGCTGATACAGATTTGTTCCTCTGGGAAACAGTTCCATTTCTATAGGAATTTACATTGTGAAGTTTGTAGTTCAGATTTAGAGCAACGTAAATGAAATAAAAATTTTGCTTAGTGACAGAAAGTTAACCAGAAGGTCCTTTGCTTATATTGTTATCCAAGCTGGTAGTCCACAGTAACATTTCCACCCCCCATTTCAATTGATGTTTCAGTGTTTTGGAGCAGATGCTATTTAAAATAGCTGTGTATTTCTTGAAATCTCTCAATCCTATTTCAAGTTAGGTGTTTTCTATGTTAGTTACCAAGATATTAGAATTTAAATAGTGTCCTTTTGAACTTCTTCCAGAATATAATGTTGAAAGGCCTTAAATCATATATTTGTGAAACTTAGTCTAAAAAATTTCACTTATTTTCTAAACTGGGTACCATGTTGGGTTTGTATCCCACTGAATTTACCGTGCGCATTAACCTGCAAATTCAAAGCATTAGCAAATGCCAGTTTAAAAACATTAAATAACAAACAACAAAATCAAACTTGCTGTCATCCTGATCATAGTGATCATAGAGTTGGACAGATTAGGATCTCAAAAACTCATCTGGCCTATATGTTTATCCTACTGGTATGCTCTTGGCATCCTTGGATTTTTGCCTAGAGATAGGATTATACTTTGTTTTTCTCTGCATGTATTGACTAGTAGTAGTTCAAGTATGCACAGGAAAAACAGCAATTGTGTTTTGTTAGTAAGGTACTAGAAAAATGTCAGCTGGTTAGAATTAGAAATTAGTTATAGAAGGGTGGGTGGGAGGGAGGGCTGGTTAGAATAGGTGAAGTTTTTTGTAATATTCTTCATGAAACAGTTTATATTGAACTATCATGTGATTCCTTCGTTATTAGTGATTTAGACTATATTGATGTTGCATACCAAAATATTGCAAAGATTTTGTAGATGTTACAAACCTTTGTGTTGTTGTGGGAAATGCCTGCATTCTTCTTCAGTAGTATGATAGAATCATCATGGAATGGCTTAGGTTGGAGAGGTCTTTAAAGATCATTTAGTTCCAACCCCCTGCCATGGGCAGGGTTGCCCTCACGAGATCAGGCTGCCCAGAGCCCCATCCAACTTGACCTTGAATGTACCCAGAGATGGACCATTCCCAGCCTCTTTGGGCAGCCTATTCCAGCACCTCACCATTCTGAGGAAAGAATTTCTTCGTAACATCTAACCTACATCTTCTCTCTTTTAGTTCAAAGCCATTCTCCCTTGTCCTATCACTATCAGACCATGTAAAAAGTCGCACCCCTTTCTGCTTGTAAATTCCCTTGAAATACTGGAAGGCCCCAATGAGATCTATCCAGAGCCTTCCTTCAAGCTAAACAAACCCAACTCTCAGCCTTTCTGCATGGGAGAGGCATTCAGGCCCTGATTATCTTCGTGGCCTGCCTCTGGACCCACTCCAGCAGCTCTGCATCCTTCCTGTGCTGGGGGTCCCAGGCCTGGGTGCTGTAATCCAGATGCAGCCTCGTGAGGGCAAAGCCGTGGGGGAAAATCTCCTTCTTCCCCCAGCTGGCCACCCCTCTTTTGATGCAGCCCAGGATACTGTTGGCTTTCTGGGCTGCAAGGGCACACTGCTGGCTAGCTCCTTGTCATGCTCAGAAATGCAGCTCCTACTGCTGAAAATGTTTTTTCTTTCCCTAGGCTGAAATAAATAGGTGTGAATTGGATTGATACTTAGTTTTGGCCAGAGACCAGTTTTAAATGAGAAGATACACAATTTGCTTTTTGAAATGCTTTATTGGTGTCAGGGTTGGTGACAGTGCTGTGTATAGGCTGGAGAGTAGGTAACAAATCCTGCTTCTGGCTGGTTTATTGATTGCTTCTACAGTGTGTAACAAGTAGGTTGGTTGTGCCTCAATCTCTTCTTTCAGAAGGCTGAACTAATGATTATTTCCTTGGTGTGTTCAGAGATCCAGTTATTATTTGAGATCTTTAGATGAAAGAGGCAAAAGAAAAGCAATAAGGTTTTTTTTTCCTCTGTTTAAAATAAAAAATATAATTCTGGGGGCTGCTAGAAATGAATTTATTTTATGACCTCTGAATTTTTTGGGGGGACTTATAACTAATTCTTAAATACAGTTTTCAGGCTTAACTTCAAGAATGCAATGAAATCAATGGAACTGCAAGCATGAAGTCAGGAACGCTTCAAAGTGTTTGCAGTTCTCAGCCCCTGATATTTTTAGGTAAAATGCTTTCTGTGGTTTGAGAGTTTTACAAAATCGAAGGTGTTCAAATGTAGCACCTCCTTAACGTTTGTCTTGATTCCAACTCAATACAATAACATATCTGCATTAAATATATTTCTTTTGTTTTATATATAAACATTGCCTGCCAGTAAAACTATTGATGTAACATTTTCAAAAGAGGAAGCCATGCTTCTGATCATGTTGTATGTGACTTAAATGACTGTTTCATATTAAAACTAATCTTTCCTTATGTACTGCTTAAATATACCTGTTTGGGGAATATCAGTTCAGTACTTTTATAAAATTTTGAATGTGTTCCACATTGGTGACATGTATTTTTGCAATAATTTTTTTTGTTTCAATTTTAAATTAGAGCATGTCTGAAGTAATACATGCATTAGTGCTGTGGCGTGTGGCAAAGTTAATGTATGTAATTCAAATTGGAAAAAAGTTTCCAGACTTTGTCCAACATTTACCCTGTGGCTGGGGATTAAATTACTATGTAATACAAATTATTTCATATCATGATGTGTTTTAAGCTACTTTGTGAAGTATGTGAAACATTATTGTTTATGGGTTGGTAGCTGGCCTGGTGTCTTGCATTGAATGAGGTATGAAGATGGTAGCAATTCATGATAATTAAAACTGACTACATTTCAGAACATAATTTCAGAATTCTGTATGTTGTCATCCTGTTGCCATAACTGTTAGTATGAAGTCCATAATATTATCCACTGACAAATGGATGAA